CCCCCCCGGCTCCCCCGCCCACAGCCAGATCAGTTTCCGTTTATTCCACACAAGCACACAAGTCAGAAGCGCCTGGTAATTCGTTGAGAGCAGATTTTATGTGAGTTTTCTAAAACAAAAATGAAACACGATAATTAAAAAGAGAGAGGTTTGGTAAAACAAGAAAATACAACTGAACTACAGATATCCAAGCTATTGGGCTTTTCTGATGCATAAAGACAATCAGGCACATCACTCTTCTGCACCCTTTCCCTTTCTGTGATAAAAGAGTGCTCTTGGTGTTTGCCTTAAAATAATCTTACACGCCGAATTAGTTTCTTACCGCTGCTGTAACTAAGTGTCACAAACTGTGTGGCTTAGAATAGAAATTGAAGGTCCCACAGTTCTAGAGGCCAGAAGTCTGAAATTAAAGTGTTGGTGGGGCCATGCTCCCTCTGAAGGCACTTAATGAAGGATCTCTTCCAGGCCTCTCTTAGCTTCTATAGGTCGTTGGCTTGGGGTGGCATAGCTCCACAATCTTCATGGCATGTCTGTTCAAATGTTCCTTTTTTATAGGACGCCAGTCATGGCAGATTGGAGGCCCAACTACTCTGGTGTGACCTCATCTTTAATTAAATCTGCAATGACCCTATTTCCAAATAAGGTTAAACTTTGAGTTACTAGGTGTCAGGTCTTAAACATACAAATTTGCAGGGGACAGGACTCAATCCATAACACACCAATGCAAGCTACACACATACACACACCCCTGCCATATTCCCTATTCATTTTGGAGACACACACCATGTTTCACATTCATTTTGAACCTCTCCAGATCACCGTGGGGTCTTTGTATTGCTGCTCTTCATTTTTTGTCTTTCTCTTTTCTTATTCATTAATCTCTCCCAGATTCTCAAATTTACTTGCTTCAGTTTTCCTGCTACTTCCTTTTCTTATACATTACAGTAATTTCTAAGAGCATTTTCTATCTTTCATTAGGATATACAAATTGAAACTAGCAAAAGCTGCTTCAGCAGCTTTGTGACCTCCTACCTGACACTACTTTAAGTGCTTTTTTTGGTTCTGCTTGAATCCATAAACCATCCCCTCAGCACTCCTACCAATTAAAATTACAGGGCTGTCTAGGCAGACTGCATACAGTGAGGCCCAAAGCACTGGTATATCGGTAGTGAGACCCAATACTTAATGCTACATGCAGAAGTGGACCAATGTAACACCTACCTTTTCACACTGAACACTAGTTCTCCTCACCTCACCTTTCTTCTCCTATTATAGGAATATGACCTTTTTCTCTTCATCTTTTTATTCAAAAGTTACCTGCATGCGGGATTCCTAGCCATTTTATCTAAAATTTCAACATTCCCACTTTATATCCTGAATTCCATACTAATTTTTTCCTTAGCACTTACCTCTAAAATAATATATATTTTGCTTATTGGTATGCACCCCCATTTAAATTTAAGCTCCCTAAAGGCAGGGATTTTTGTCTGCCTTATTTGCCCTTGTATCCCCAGGGCCAGTACAATGCTAGTACACAGCAAGTGCTCAATAAAAATTTTTTGTATGAATGAGTCTTCGTTCTCTCAGAGTTTTTATCCTGAAAGAAAGAATGGTGTTAATATTCATTTGATAAATTCTAGCGCTTTACCAAGTAAAATTAGTTATTCAATAAATATTTATAATTGATGATGATGATAATGCCTGCTATCTGTGTTGTTTCTATCCTGAACTATGAGTCTTCTGCTAGGTGGTTACTGGTCTTTGTATTAGTTTCTTCTCTATTGACTAATAGAAATTTACTGAGTGCCTACGATACAGGCACTATGATACTAGGCACTAGGGATAAAAAATAAACAATGGCCCCTGCCCTCAAAAAGCTTACACATTAGGGGTGCCTGGGTGCCTCAGTCAGGTAAGCGGCCAACTCTTGGTTTTGGCTCGGGTCATGATCTCACAGTTTTGTGAGTTTCAGCCCTATGTTGGGCTCTGCCCTGACAGTACAGAACTTGCTTGGGATTCTCCCTCTCTCTCTGTCTCTCCTCCACTCACAATGTCTCTTGTTCAAAATCAATAAACTTTTTAAAAAACCTTACGTATTAGAAGAATTGCTTTGAGGATACCTCTAGTCACTGATTACATAAACAGCTAGAAAATAGTCACCTGATGTCAAGAGTTTTCCAGAAATAAAGCTACTAGTGTCCATGCTCCGGGTTAGACAATAGTCAAGATTTCATTAGGCCTGCTGCAAAATAAAGGAGGAAATTCTGGCACAAAGCAAAGGTTTTCAAATTCTATCTAAAAAATATATTAAGTATCATAGACTTATTTGTCTATCAAGTTATTTTTGAAAATTGGTTTATGATTAGCCAGATAGCTATTGGGAGTGGGTGGAGAAAGATCAAAGAAAATGCTTATTAGAAAGGCTCAGAAGCACTACACTTTGGCAAGGTTTATAACATGACTTACCTCATTGATGTGTATATCCTTAAAGCGGTTAAAAGTGATTTAAATTCTTTAAAGGAACTGTACTGGGAAGGGCAGAGCAAGAGGAAGTCGAGAGAAAAGAGAATGTTCTTTAAAAGAATAATAGGGAAATGATTGCCTCTTCTTTACCATGACATTCTGAATATCATTTAAAGGAATCTCACTGGAGTAGTTAACTGAACTCTACAGTGATAAAAAATGAGTTGGCAGTGAACAGTCTTCTACCTAAACTCTTTATTTTTTTATAATGTTTATTTTGTAGAGAGAGGGTGAGGGATGGGCAGAGAGAGAGGGAGACACAGAATCTGAAGCAGGCCCCAGGCTCTGAGCTGTCAGCACAGAGCCAGATGTGGGCTCAAACCCATGAACCAAACCGTGAGATCGTGACCTGAGCTGAAGTCTGATGCTTAACCCACTGAGCCACCCAGGCACCCCTAAACTTTTTTCGAAATATCTCTATGAGTTTAGGCTGGTCTAGGTTGAACAACAGAAATGTCTCAGCCCCTGGCTCATTATAACCCTACCCCCCCTCCCCACCTGCAGCCCACACAACATCTTTCATTTACTTAATAGGTTAACTGTTTTCTAAATATTATGAAATTAAAATTTTCTTTTTTCATAGTCTATCACCTCAAACTAATATCTACATATTGCAACTATAGCCTCAGATTGAATACATTTCTTTTATTTCTTTTTTTTTATTTTTTAGAGAGAGACAGAGCACAAGTGGGGGAGGGGTAGAGACAGAGAGGGAGACACAGAATCCAAAACAGGCTCCAGGCTCAGAGCTGTCAGCACAGAGCCCGATGCAAGGCTTGAACTCACGGGCTGTGAGATTGTGACCTGAGCCTAAGTCAGATGCTTAACCGACTGAGCCACCCAGGTGCCCATTTTTTTTAAATGGGACAAAGCACTTCAAAATCATCTGTTCTGAGCTCAGCACTGTGTTCAGTACTATTAAGAGATAACTATAGGTGCTTATCATGTGGAACAAAAGTAGGGAGTAGCCTGTTAAAGTCTCTCCTATTTAGAAAATCCTCTAAGTCTGTGAGTGGTAACATTTAAAAAAAAATTAGTCAAAGATGGCTTCATAAGAAGAGGATATGGGTGGATAGAATTTTTTTGTGGAGAGATGTTGGGAAGAAAGGCATCTATTCCAAGAGAGAGAAACAGCATGAGGAAAGATATGTCATATATAAAAGGGTACATATTAGGGATAGTTAGAAATAAGATTGGAAATTTAGTATGAGGGACACGTTGTGGGGGGTTAAAAATGCCAAGCAAGGAATTTAAACTTGATAAGGTAGGAAATAGAGAGTCACTGAAAGTTTCTTAGAAATAGAATGACATGATGAAAACAGTATAGGGGCAGGAAAAGAAGTAATAGATTAAAGAAAGCACTATTTGTTGAGGGCAAG